ATAAGATTAATCACATAATTTATGTGTAAGTTTATTATTGTATTATTTTCTTTAATGATTAAGAATGTATTGTTTGTTTTAGGTTCAACAGTTTATTTAAATGTGCTGTTACTTAATTAAGCTTTCTCCTATTTTCACATATTAAAATGTTGCATTTTTGTCTTAACGTAATAAAATATTTTTATTCAACATTCACTATCAGCGCATGATGAATGTCGACATTTGCCGGTGTAAGTGAGAAATAATGATATTTAGCAAATATTTCGTACGTACACAAAACGACTGTGTGAATGCTAACATTCACCAGACAATGTTGACATTCGCCAGATATCGGTCATTCACAGTAACATATACATAATAGCCGAGAAAGTAAAACGTATAAAAGAATCAAAAATTATCTCGAAGGATTTCTAAATCTACACAAATCCTATAAATAGGACCAAGTGGAATAGACTCAAACAGCTATAAATCGTGTTTAGTTGTTCTTTCGACAATTAAACACTGTATACATTTTTTGTATTATCAATACGTCGAAGTTGTTTTTTCGTAAAAGATAAAACAAGCTTCTCTACAGAAAACTAATTTGTCAATTTTGGAAGAACAGAAGTATACTACACAATGACTAGTTATAACGTTCCCAGTATTAGAAATTTTTCTAAAAAGTGTCAATGAAGTGTTCTTTCTGTTAACTAATATCTCGGCTTACTCGGGATTTGAAGAAGTTCTGCTTCGTGGTATTGTTCTGCAATTCGCAGTAGTTCCAACTGTGTCCTACGAAAAAAAAGTCTAAGCGCCATAATCCCTCTACATGAATAGTAAACATGACACAAGGGAGAATGTAAGGAGTAAATATACAGTAGACCCCACTATAACACGGGTTTTTATAGTTCGGATTCCTATATGACGGCGAAAAAATTACGACAGTATCCGTACAAACATGCTAAAAAAACTCCTATAATTCGGTAAAACGTCATCAGGCAGCCGAACTAATTTCCGCCGTCCAGCGCCACGCTATGGAGAGTTTAGGTGGGTAAGTTGAATTTACTATCGTCTGTACAGTATGTAAATTAGGTACCGTAAGTCTAATACAGTACTGTAATTTTATACATTTCTTGTGAAAGAAACATTTCTTATTCAACGGCCGTAAAAATTATTTATATTAATGATGTCTCCAAAGTTCAACGAATTTTTCGCCGAAAAATAACTTATCAGAAATCATGCCCGCCGTTTGGTGCGCTGCTCCGCGACGAAAACAAGCTTAAGCAGTGGCGACGTCGAACGCTGCACACTCGGTAAGTAATCCTACAATTTTTTGTTTACAGCATAGTTAATACGGATTAATTTCGAAAAAATTATACGTGTTTTGGAAATGTTGAGTCGAATTAGTGTAGAATCGATTAATTTTATGGAAGAAAACCTTTCAAACAGCCGTAGTCCGTAAACTTCACACTTGTCGGGCTGTGATTGGAAAGGTCTCCTAAAACATCAATTTCATAAAAAACGGAACGTATCTACCGTTTTATAGGGAGGTCGACTGTATTTGAAATTGTAAAGTATTACGAAATAAATATAATAAACATTCGAGTTATATTTTGCTAGTTTTAAAATTATTGTTAGAGGAATATAAATAAAACTGGTGATATTTAAGACACCAGATTTAAATAATTGCGAAAATACAATAAAAATAAAACACTAACCGAAGAGAGATTTGTTTAATTTTATTAAAATATTAAATAATTTACAATACTTTAAAAGTTTTTAAAGTTTTTATAATTTTTTTCATTTTCAAAATTTTATAAATTATTTACAATATTTAAATTGAATTTTGAAGAAATTAACAAAAATATATTATTATTATTCTACTCAAGTGTAGTAATTACTACACGGCAAATTGTAAGCATTTTCCAATCTGCATACAATCTTCGTTCATAAAAATATTACATTTCCAAACCTGTGAAGAACACGTGTGAACACGTCCACGCATCTTCTTACTCCCTAAAAAAATTTGAAAAGTTTTTCATAAATCAACAATAATAATAGTCATTTAAATATATGTTGAACATAATTAGTGAAATTAATGCTAAAATTTCAATTAATTAGATTTAAATATAATACACAATTTAAACATAAATTTTTAAAATATTAATTGAATCTTTTTTACACAAAATTTTATAACTGTGATTAAATATATTACTTTTTTTTTAATACAGACGTATTAGAATACGAAAATTTTGTTGCATGATATTAATCATATTTTAAATAAATTATAAACAAAAATATATTCTCACTTCTTTTTCTGTTTGTGGGTTGGATTCCTCTTCGACTAAACATTCAGATCCACCATATTTGATTTTTTCGAAATCAGTTTTATTTTAGATTTGTATTGTGTCTTTTTCGCCTTGCTTATGATTTTCTGAGAAATCAATTTTATAATTTAAAAATAAGTCATTTATTTATTGAAAATTATAATATCGTCATTACGTATATATACAATATTAAATAACAATAAAATGAAGCAGACAGAAGGATTTCATTTGTAACGATGACATCAAAATCGTACAAGTGATTTTTTATACATTAACGGATTATCTGTGTTTTTGTAAACGATACAGTAGAGTCCCGAAAACTCGGCCTAATGTGGACCGAAGAGTGGCCAAGTTTGTGAAAATGCAGGGTTATCGGGAATGAGGTTAAAAAAATAAGTACGAGTGTTTCCTCAGAAAATACTGTACTATATTTGTATGTATTGTTTGCTTGAGAATACAACAGAAAATAAACTGCCCAAATACTCTTAAACAAAGAAAAGTACGTACTTTATGAAGGCATAGAGCCTTTACTACATGAAAATAAAAATTAATGACTACACAGTGTACAGTAATTTACCTGATAAGACAGACCTCAGAAAAATATTTTATGAGACATGACGCTGTATAATGAAAATTAACTAGGGGATTTTTCGTCCTGCCAGGGTGTGGCCGAGTTATCCGGACTGCCGGATTATCAAGTGCTGAGTTTTCGGGACTCTATAACTCTCTTACTAAAATCTAAGTAAATAATATTATACTGTATTGATAACAAGAAGTCCTTCCGTTGGTATATTTTGATGGATAAGAACTAATTTTATCGCCTACGCTCTACATGAACTGCAATCGTTATATCAAATTCTTATTAATTTCTAAATTACGTAAATAAATATTACACAAAGTTATGAATTCTAATGTGTTAAGATATTATCAGAGGAAAGTCAAAGGCTGTCAGTGACTACAACCTTTCCCTATGTTCACCGTTCAGTACACTGCCTCCAGCTCCCCTGCCGCCCATTGCTTCTTTTCGTCCCCTAGATTTAGAAAACAGAGCGGTGACTATCGTATATACGTAAGGGTACACTGTATTCATATATTGGCGTAACGATTCTCACTGTAGTAATTTTCTTTCTTGGCTTTCTCCATTGATCACGTATATTGTTACTTTCATAATTTTTTTTGGTTGCAATTTCTCTAAATATGTCGACCTGTTCATCGCTAGTAAGGATGCCATCTTGGCACGGAGATTCTGAAAACTCTGCAGAGGTCATGGTTAAAAATCTGATCTGATCCAACAAAGGCTTTAATTTTTTTCGAAGATCCTCAGGAGATTGATCTTGAAATCTTTCTTTACCCCACTTTATGACGGCTTCATACATATCTACTTCCGATTGCAACTTTAAATTATCTTCGGATACAAGTTTTAAAATAGTTTCATATTCCACATTTTTAATGCTATTTTGCTTAATAATTTCTGACGTATTTCCAGTTATGCAATCCCAACATTTCGTTGCTAATTCGTTTTGTTTAAGTAGGGATGCTGTTTCGTATATATCGAGAACATTATCTAAACATATATTATCTGTAAGATATGATAAACATCGCTTCTTCATACGCGTTACCATGTATTTTTCTGCAAAATGTAACGAAAAAATGGCTTCATCTGCTGAATGTAATGCCACATCATCTGTATATATATATCTGAAAAATAATTAATTACTTTAATAGATTCGTTATAGATTATAAATTGGAATTTAAAAGATTTTTACTTCTAGTAAAGTTCTAACACTGATCCAAGTTTGTTTAGTTTAATTTTATCATTTCTTCTTGGAAAGTATGCTGAAACTCTCAAATTATTTAATAGTCTACATGATTTATTTTTTTATGCTTCGCTGTAATACTTTAAAAATAAAATCATTTTATAACCAAAAGAAATAAACAAATTCATCAAGACTAGTTTGTCGATATAATACAATTTGTTAAGATGTTTGAACTGATCAGATGATACGATACATACTGAAAATATTTTTGCTGTTTCCTATTTCGTTGTTTAGCATTGTGGTAATCAATACTAAACAGCGAAATAAAGCGCAGAAAAATTCCTCTCCTTGATAGGAAAGTAAGGAAGAATTCGTGTTAAATGTTAATTATAAGCAGGTAAAATTTTGCATGCTGGCTTTTTAATTTATAAAAAAATAAATTCACCAGACTTTTGATAAACGGGCTTGCTGTGTGGATTTTTTCGGGGTTTCTTTTTGTATCTAACACCTACATAGGATCGAGTTTCCATTCGATCGTCTTGGAAACAGACCACTTTTGTGCTAGTTGCTTTATTCTATCAATTCAATATACTTTATGTCTAAATAATATGGAGTATTTCTTACCAATATTTTTCATTTGGTTTTTGTGAAAAAAGCATCACATTTTTTATTAAACGCTAATTAATGTAATGTTATGTAACTTATAATCGGGATATCTTTCTGTGTTGTAGGTATTAAAATTGTAGGTTACAGCATAAAACTGCCAAAATGCAGCCAAGAAGTAATGACAATAATGAAAATGTTTTATGAATTTTAAATTTCAAAAAAACTTTGAGAAAAAGTATTAAATAAACAATAAAAAAAGCATCGAAGAAACTTTAATTTTAATATGTATAATNAAAATAAATTAAATTATTCAAATTTATGATATTCCTGTATGATCTTTTTTATTCATATAAAATTCTATTTTACTATCTCATCCCGAAATTTCCCGGGATCCCGGGAAAAGAAATTATTTTTCCCGTAATCCCGCTGGAGGCAAATTTCCCGGAAATGAGAAACCTTAGTACCGATATATTATATTAGCAATTCTTGGCTTTCTCCATTGATCATGGATATTGTTACTTTTATAATTCTTTCTGGTTACAATTTCTCTAAGTATGTCAAGCTGTTCATCTTTAGTAAGGATGCCATCTTGGCACGGAGATTCCGCAAACTCTGCAGAGGTCATGCTTAAAAATCTGATCTGACCCAACAAAGGCTGTAATTTTTTTCGAAAATCTTCTGAAGATTGATCTTGGAATTTTTCTTTACCCCACTTTATAACGGCGTCATACATATCTAATTCGGAATTCAACGATAAATAATCTTCAGATACAATCTTCAAAATAATTTCATATTTTACGTATTTAAAGTCGTTTCGCTTAACAACATTTGACGTGTAGCGAGTTATATACTTCCAACATTTCGTTTTTAATTCATTTTGTTGAAATAGGGACGCTGTTTCGTATATATCGAAAACAGTATCTGACGATATATTATTCATAAGATATGATAGACATTGCTTCTTCATACGCATTACCATGTATTTTTCTGCAAAATGCAACGAACGAATGGCTTCATCTACTGAATGTAATGCCGCTTCATCTGTATATATATAACTGAAAAATAATGAATTACTTTAATAGATTCGTTATACATTACAAATTAAAGTTCTAACATTGATCAAATGTTGTTTAGTTTACTTTTATCATTTCTTGTTGGGAATTATGTTAAAATTCTCAAATTATTTAATACATGGATCATTTTTATGCTTAGCTGTAAAAATTTAAAAATAACATCATTTTATAACTAATAGAAATAAAGACAATCACCAGATAATACGATACACAATAAAAATATTTTTGCTGTTTTATATTTCGCTTTTTAGTATTGTTGACAACAATGCTAAAAAGCGAAATAAAGAGCAGAAAAATTCCTCTCCTTGATAGGAAAGTAAGGAAGAATTCGTGAAGCAACTGTTAATTATAAGCGGGTAAAATTTTGAATGCTTGTTTTTAAATTTCGAAAAAATAAATTCACCAGTCTTTTGATCAACGGGTTTGCCGTGTGGATTTTTTCGGGTTTCTTTTTGTGTCTAAAAACTACATAGGATCCAGTTTCCGTTCGATCGTCTTGGAAACAGACTAGTTGCTTCATTCTTTCAATTCAATATACTTTATGTCTAAATAATATGGACTATTTACTACCAATATTTTTAATTTGGTTTTTGTGTAATAAGCAGCACATTTTTTATTTACTGCTAATTAATGTAATGTTATCTAACTTATAATCGGGATATCTTTCTTTGTTGTAGGTGTTAGAATTTTACGTTACAGCCATAAATAGCCAAAATACGGCCAAGATGTAATGACAATAATGAAGATGTTTTACGAATTTTTTAATTTTAAAAATAGTTTCAGAAAAAGTATTAAATAAACAATAAAAAAGAATCTAAGAAACGTTAATTTTAATATGGATAATGATAATAATAATTTGATAGCCTACTTTGTAATAATGGAAAGGTATTTCTATAACTATTAAAAATACTTCGTAAAAGTTTAGTATAACTTACTTTATAAACAATAAAAAAAGCATCGAAGAAACTTTAATTTTAATATGTATAATATTAATTTGATAGCTTACTTTATAATAATGGAATAGTATTTCAATAATTATTAAAAATACTACGCAAAAGTTTAGTATAACTTACTTTATGAAAACACGAAATGCTTTAACATCATCTTCAGGCAATGCAACATCTTGTCTCTTCTCCGCCATAGAACCATAGAACATTGCATAAAATACCTCGCTATGTATAGAGAGAAGCAGTGAGTGGGTCGGAAAATACTTTTTTTCTTGGCCAAGAATTAAAGTGACGACTGTCATTTGTCCAGATTTCATAAGATGTGACAATCTTTCTTTTATGTTCAAATCATCTGATTGCCAGGACATCTAAAACAAAAATAGTACAGGTATTTAGGATAATTGAGTGTTGTTTACTGCACTAAACAAGTAATAGTAGTGATTCGATACACTTATGTAATCTTATAAATAAAATATACCCCTAAGTAATTTTACGTTTATTAAGAACACACTCTTAATTTTCTTCTTTAAATTTATTAATTTTTCCATCATAACATCAAGAATATTGACTAATAAACTATGTGAATTATCGAAATATATTTTCGATTAACTTTTTGATATTTTAAAACATTACACCAAGAAGGATGATTTTGGAAATCATTAATAAATGGATTTTACGATTAATATTTGATAACGGAAAACGAAGTCCCGATGTAAATAATGTTTTAGCTCACGTAGATTGTCGTTATTGAATTGTTGGTATTTTAAATGTGAGATTAATCGGGGGTAGGATGTTACGAGTTCTCGACTCTCCTACCTCGTAATCGACTCAAGAGCTTGAAGTCCGGTTTCGCTTGTCCAAAGGATGAGTTCTGTTGAGCGGAAGAGTTATAAAGTTAAGGATCGTTAGATCTTATTTCACGTCAGGATCTGAAACTAATCTATCAATTTATCGGCGGATAGATACGCTTTTAAGTGAGGTCGATTTAACAGGATCGATCTCGTTCATGATTTTCGGGGTGGGAATGGAGGTGGTAATGTAGGAAGAAACGCACACCAATCCAATTTCATTAACAAAATACCCGTTTAGTGTAGAACGTATTTACATGGTTATAGATTATTAAGGGTTCTCTCTCCGGGTTAACATTCCGTATAGGTATTTCCATTCGGGAAAGGTAGCTGACAATATATAATAGTCGCGACCCTATCTGCGTTTCGAAAGTACTCGAGAGAGAGCTTACATATCATCGCGAGTAGGATAAATACCTCTAATCGTACAGGATGGTTTCTTGATGATCTTTGAGTTCGGATCCGGGATCGTTGTAACAGTTCGTTGAGTCGACGTAAGTCCAAAAATCGTAGAATAGTTCAGATAGGAAGTCTATCGAAGATGGTGGCGACGAGAGGCAGAAAATCCACAGACACTCACAGTACAAAATAACTTTTTTCCCCCGGTGTCGTCATCGCACTTGCCTTTTATGTGGGGCTCTCTTCTCGAGATTTCCCCATGAACGTCAAAGGGTGATGATGATGGTGAAATGGTGAAAACTCCTTTCACCAATGGTGGGTTAAGTAACAAAATTATGTCATAACAGTTAACTCATCTTCTACAAGGAAGTATTTTCGTGGGAACGGAGTTTTATGATCGATTTTTTATGAGAAAATTTGTCGGTTGTTTTTCTCTTTTTGAGTTAACCCTAACTTTTATAAAATCATTTTGATTTCGAAACAAAAACGGTAGATGAAAATGAATAAGAATATTCGAATCTCAGTATTCTTAAATCCTGGCCCTCACATAAAACTATTCTCATATCTAATGTGCATGTAAAGTTCTTAACAAATTTATCTGAGAGAATTTGAAATTCGTCTATCTTATATCAATTGAGATATTTTGAAAAATTATTCATGAATTCTTCGTCTAATACTTAATGATTTGCAATTAAATCCCATTTGTATGTCTAATATGTTTTTTGGTGAATGAAGTAGGAAATATATAATTTTTCCATATTTATTAGCAGTTGAAATTATTTGCAAATTCAGAAATGAAGTCGCGAGTTAAGTTAGTTTTTTGACTTATAACATCCCACTTAACATAATTTTTAAAACGTCGAATAGTATTTTCATCTATTTCTAAACTTGAACATTTTTCCAATCAACTGATATAATGTGCTTGATTCTACAAGAAAAAAATCTATATTAGGATATATTTTTTATACGTATAAAATATACNCTTAACATAATTTTTAAAACGTCGAATAGTATTTTCATCTATTTCTAAACTTGAACATTTTTCCAATCAACTGATATAATGTGCTTGATTCTACAAGAAAAAAATCTATATTAGGATATATTTTTTATACGTATAAAATATACTACACATTTTAATAGAAGTTAAATATTGTTTACAAAATACTATATTGAATAACATATTTTTTAGTAGAATTTCTTGAAATATTTATTTATTAATACAATTACATTTATAAAATTTTTATTGCACAAGGCTATTGTTATCTTATCACTTATTACAAAAAATTGTAGTAAGTGATAAGGCAACAAGAAATGCTGAATGTGTTGTGATAATGCTGAACACATTCTGTTTAATGTACAGTACATCGGTATATTTTATTTTGCAATAATTTTAATGGTGCTATTTTATTCCCTGCCTGTTTAGGCAAGGATATGTTTTATTGCAAATACCGTGTAGGGTAAACTTGCCTAATTCGTACTTGCGCTAAATTCGTACTTCGCTTATATCTCGACTCCGGTAATAGCTATTAGTGTCTCTAGTAGCAAAAAAGTAAATAACAATCGGTCATATTACCATCTGACAGACAACACGCTGTTACTCTGCTCCCGACAAAAATATTGAAAAGGAAATTTTTTTCAACTTTTTCTGTAATATTTTTGCACATTTCATACGAAATTTCTTCAAATTGGATCGTGTGTAAGTTTTTTAACTATCTGTGATGTATTAGTGCGTATTTTTGTGATTTCATCTGAAGTGATGAAACATGCGTATCTGTTGTCAAATTTTTTGGCGACTAATGTAAAGTTTGTTCGACTCTTGCGCCTATTTCGTACTCGAAGCATGTTCTTAAAACGTACTGGTACGATTTAGGAAAACCATTTTAGATGAATGTCACAATAAGCTATTACCGATTCGTAAACTTATTTTTTTTCTAAGTTTCTGATTTAAAAAATAACCGCAAAAGTTCAAAACAAATTAAAACTTAATCGTCTTTAATTTTAGAACAACGTGTCAAAAAGAAAATATAATTCTTGAAGTAAAGAAAATATGAAAGAAGCGATTAAAAAATATAATGACGAGACCTTATAATTTAACGAAGTTTGTAGTGTATATAATGTACCGTAATTGACATTTAGACGATAGTTACAAGGACTGAATATACATCAATGAATAGACTAGATAGGTCATTTTTTAAATCACTAAAACTGAATTTTAGTGCTGCTTGCGCATCGTGGATGCAAACCATCCTGGTTCCTTAATAAAGCATATCTTCGAGCCGTTTGTATGGACACAGGCATGCATGACTTCGAATCTTGCGGATTGTGGCCTCGCAATCGCTTTAAGATCGGGGATGAGGAATATGTCGTTCTTGACGAAGATGCTAATCTAAGTGAAACGGCGGAAGTCTCCCAGAATCTGGCAACTGAAAGGCAGCAAGAACAAACAGATACTTTAACGTGTGTGGCACAATCCAATCAGACTACTGAGAACAGACTGAAGAAGTTGAGTACCCACAACTTCCTGAGGTACCGACAACTCACCCTTCGGAAAAACAGCAAGATCAGTGTCTGGAAGAGAAAGCGAAGGAATGTTCTTTAGGTATGAAAGTAAACATTTCTAATACAGAGACAGTTCGAGCGACATTTGAAATAATATCTCCACTACGTGGTATTCTTGGAATTGCAAGAAGAAAAACGTATGAAAGAATCTTGGTGCGAAGAAAAGCAAAACTACTAAAATATCACAAAAAGAGAATTAAAAAAAACAGGAAGATGAAAATAACAGTTGGTACTGTAAATTATGCCAAGAAGACGTAAAAGAAAGTATGATCAAATGCACACAATGTGAGATATGGGTACATGAACTTCGCGCAGGAACCAATAAAAAGACAATGGATTACAACTGCGATGACTGCCAAAAATTGGCGAAGACCAGCTGCCGAATTTGCTAAGAGTTAATATACACACGTATTAATACATTATTGATAAAGATTTTTATTCTTAAGACTGCAAACCAATGATAGGATCACAAAGTACGATTTAAGAATATATCGGTACGATTTAAGACGAATGTTCCTAAATCGTACTTTTTTAGTGTTTTTTTAAATTGTTTATTTCTCAGAAGTTTATAAGATTTATGCTAAATTTGATTATGGTAGTGATAAAATATCTCCCAAATAAAAGTTACTTAAAATAATAATTAATTTGTGTTTATTAATTTCGATAATATGATGGTTTTTCCTTAAGTGGTACGAATTAGGCAAGTTTACCCTATTAAGTAAGTTTCAGAGTTTTTTTTTATCTTGTATAATATTAAATATTCGTATTGAAAGGATGATGATATCAAAGAATCTGTAAGAATTAAAAGTAAAAGGTATAGTGAGGAAATGATGTGATATCTATCCCATTATCTAAAATAAAGTTTTCATCGTATAACGAGGAAAGGGATATTTTGTTTTGAAGATATGTTCTCACAACATGATTTTTTCTTTTAGTTCGATATTGTTGATGTCTTAAAAGTTCTGTATTGAATAAAACATCCTTATAATTTTCATTATTGAAAGTTTTTACAAAATATTTTTTAATTCTTTTAGCAGGTTTTTATTTTGATTGTCGAAATATAAGAATGCATTTTTAGTTTTGATGGTTGAGATTGATATCAACAATATTGATACAGAGTCACTGTAGTTTTTTTTCAACGTTTTGACAGGTTTTACCGGAAAACTATTATTAGTTAATTAAAAAGGAAGACATCAACATCATTTATCGACTTTTTTTTATTGAAATGAAAAATAATTTTTCTGAAAAAATGAAGTTACCATGAATTATTAAAATTATACATATAGTATATTCTTATAAAATACAATATACTTCAAAGTGTATCCAATCACTAATACTTACACATATAAAATCGATTTCTAACTAAGAAACATTTAATAAGAAAGATTC